TTGCTCAGTTAAAGGTTCGTGATTCCAGTTGAAGAATTGTTTTATTCTGTTCGATTGTGCACCATTGATTACATATTGGTATTCTTTTGTCGTTCCAATTGATATTCTCCTGCTGATTCGTTCATTGTTGATAGTGATATATATCAATTCCATAGCAAACACCCGGCAGTGGTCATGTAGGCAATATTCTGCCCCAAACGCATTTCGAATTCATTGAATCGAGGCGCGAGCACTGCCGGGCTTATATGTTAACCACTTTGTTTACTACGTTATGATATTTCATAGTCAACAAAACAATCAGCACACAATATCACTTGGAATACGACAAAGAACCATTTGTTTGATCCAAAGCCAAAAAATATTCGGATAATTCCACGTTGATTGTTGATAACCACAAACAAAGAGCGAGTGATGAAATGTAAACAATATGCGCAGTGTGCATTTTTTGGGGAATGATTCAGCACTTTTCAAAAACTTTGTTCGAAAAAAATGAGTCGATGATGAAATGCGCGTGCTGAACACAAAAAGCAAAATTTAGAAAACTCATTACGAATTTCCAATTATCAACAAACATTTATTCGAATCACAATTAACCAGGGGAATTTGTAACAAGATAATTTCATCGTGTTCATTTTTTGGGGAAAGATTTTTCATTTTTTTCAAAAACTCATTTCGAAAACAAACTGAGTCGAGGATGAAATACTAAACATCAAAAGGAAAATTCACAAAAGCTTTTTGGAAAAACTTATCCATAAACTTCTAATTAATAAACATTCAATTATTCGTATCACAATTAATTCGCAACAGAATAATCACACAAAAAAGAATTCTTTATTTGATGCATAACATAAACAAGTTTCATTTCATCACTCTGACAGCGTGCTCACACTGCAAAGTCAAGTTCACAATTGACAGTTTCCTTTTCAACATGCGCTTTTCAGTTGAGAAGCAAGCAAGTTGTTTGAGCTTTTTGACGCAGTTCATAAACGACAGGATGATCAAAACAATGAATTTTTGAAAACCTTTCACGATAAATTGATGAAACAAAATATCTTTATTAAATTTTAACAATTTGTCAGTTTAAAAATAAAACAATTTCAAATATCAAATGAATTTAGCTTGCAATCGAATACTGGACATTCAAAATTTAACATCAAACTAAATCCATTACGACCAAGAATTATTCGCATGTTCACTGTGGAAATGATAAATTTAAATTAAGTAAATTATTAATTACCAAACTTATCATATAACTTACATTTATTTGGTTCTTATTCGATTCACCAAACACTTCAGAACTATCGATGTTATAATGAACTTTTGATTTTCTTGTCGGCACATATTAAGAAATGTTATAAATTGAGAATAAAAACACCAAATAATAGAACAATAACAATTAATGGTAATTTCAGCTGTTGGAATTGAGTAATAGTAATATTAAGCAATATCAAATTCAACACTGCTATGATAGACATTAATGTTTAAGATATTTATTGATTGATTTGAAAATTATCAATTTTTAATAAATAATCAAACTAGGTTCAAGTCCAATCATGAACTATAACTAAATTCATATAAAGTAACAATAATTGTTACTATTGAATTAAATGTTAATTAAATTCAATTTTCAATCACAAACTTGATAGCAAACTTACTGCTTATTAGTTTTCCTTTCTTTCGATTTCTTCTGGTTGGATTTTTTTTATCGGCACAATTGAAGAAAGAATGGTAACTGATTTTTGCACTGGATATTCTTTTCCTTGATTATTGTACACAGCTTCATCGAAAATGTAGATGCTTGAATGACCAAATAAATAGAATTTGTTACCACTCACAAATCCTTTTAATACTGGCCAATGAACCGGAATTCCAGAACGACATTGTTTTCCCTTTTCCATCATAATTTTCGTATTCTGTGGATTGTAGCATATTGAGTATTTAGCTCCTTCGGTAGGTATGATTGAAATATTCTTAAAATCACTATCTTCATCATATCGATATATACTCATATGCAAATTATTATTCTCACGAACTACTGAATAATAATGGCGTGGAATGTCGCTTGAAACCAAAACTTCGTTTTTCTCAACAAGTGGAACCAAGTTAGTAAACACTTCTGAACTATCCATGTTATAATAAACTTTCAACATTGTTTCTCCTTGCCTTTTGCTTAAAAAAAACCAGTCATTTTTTCCATCATTCATTATAAATGCGTTTGAACTTGAAGGGAATGATCGAAATTGATGAAAAATTGGATTATTGAAAAGAAGTGGATATTTATCGTGGATTGGTGTTGGCTTTGTTGGTAGATGTAATTTATCATGGGCCTGATCTAAGGAATCGATTGGAACATCATATACATAGTAATCCTTTGTTATCAATAATATTCGTTCTGATGTTGTTCCAATTGCAATTATGTTGAATTGTGTGCTATTATTATTCTTGAGACTTTCACAGATTTGCTTTTTTATCAAATGTGAAATGTTTTATAATTAGCATATCAAATGTTTTCAAAATTTCTATTAATAACACTTACATCTTTTTGTGTTGCAGTCATTTTCAATTCATTATCCATTCGGATTTCCGATGTAATCAACAAAATCAAATAGAAGACATAAATAAATTTCATATTTGATAAGCACATTTTAAGCAGATTTCTTTTGTAAAATTGAAGCAATAACAATAGAGAAAATAAAATTCGTCATCGAAAACTCCGATCGTCTGATGTATTGTGAACGCTTTTATATGATTTGTTGCCAATTCCAACAGTTCAATTTGTTCATTAATTCGAATTTCAACAAAATGATCTTTAGCTTGTTAACTTTTATGAAGCAAGGTCGAATAATCGAAACGAATAATCGAATCGAATTGTTCTAATGAACGTGTTTTTGGCTGATATTTTAGCTCTATTTTAATTGTTAACTGTAGAAAAGCAAAGTCCAACTTTTATTGCAGTTAACAATGATCAAGTTCTATATTTTCCCAAACAATCATCATACATCATAAAACAATCATATTAGACATTGCACGACTAGGAATCTATTCAAGTTTTTAATTCTAATAAGGTTTTAATTCGGGTACCAGAAAAATAAGTTCATCAAGGGATATTTATCATCAAAAATCCAAATAAAAATGATCATGAAATATTTTTAATTAAACTGGCTAGCTTGGATGTTGATCCACCACGACTGATGCTGTTTAATCGTGACTTTGAACGTTTCAATCGATTCAGACTAATTTTACTGCTCATTTTGCTCATAGGAGAGGTTGGTCTTGCCGATCTACCTTTTAGTGATGTTCGACTACCCGGAGAGGTTGCCTTTCGTGATCTACCGGATAGTGATGTTCGGCTGCCAGGCGAAGTTGCTTTTCTTGATCTTCGTAATAGTGATGTTCGACTGCCGAGAGAAATTGTTTTTTTCAATCTACCGGACAGTGATTTTCGGCTGCCAGGAGACGTTGCTTTTCTCAATATACCGGATAGTGATGTCCTGCTTCCAACCCGTCCAGATTTGCTGGTATTTTTTGGACTGGAACTTCTAATTCTGGAAGTCTTACTTTTGCTTTTACTTTTGAGACTTCGTTTACTAGCTACTTTTATGGACGATTTGGATAAACTGATTTTGCTTGATCTCTGTAAACCGGAACGTGTCTTTCTTCTGTTTGCCAATGATCGATGTGCAACATATACACCGCTTATTATTATTACTAATAACACCATTGCGGCAATTATCCAATAAAAATCTTCTAATCAAACGACAAATTAATTGATTTCAGCAACAAAAAATGTCACAATTAATCCGATACTCACATGATTTGAAAACTACCATATTGGGCGGAATAATACCATCACATTTGTAGAAATCTACATCGTTAACTATCTTCACTGCAATTTTTTTTCCTTTTTGAGTAAAAACATTTTCACTAAATATAAAGTTAATAGTAAACCCGATTAAAACAATTTTTCCATCACTCACGAAACCGCTTGCTAATAGCCATTCTAATGTCTTTTTACTGTCACACTTTGTCCCTTCTATCATCAAAATATAGTCGTCGTCATAATCAAAACAAAGCATTCTAAAATCTGTCACTTTTTCTATTCCATCCGAGTTGATTATGTGATCACCATTTTTGCATTTGTAAGCAGTAAGCCAAAGAGCCGTAGCGCTTAAGATATTTGCCTTCGTAGCGTTTCTTATTTGTATAGAATAGAATTTGCATGGTTCGTTGGTTGATATTAATATTTCTGGCCATTCTCCACTTAAAACGAATCCTTTATGTACTTCTGATGTATCGATATTATAATTGATTGCCTGTTTACTGTTATTAGTAGTCATACAAATCCAATCACCATCACTATCATACATAATCCCTACATTCATATTATTTTTGATACTTTGAAAAAGTGGATTATGATAAAGATCTGGATATTTATCCTTCATTGGTGTTGACATATATTTAAAATACATTTTATTTTTGCTAGAATCATAGGAATCAGCTGGAACATCATATACATCTAAACCTTTTGTTATGAGTAATACCCGTTTTTTTGTTCTTCCTATTGCCAATACAAACGAGTATAACAAACCATTAGAATCTGCACCTGCATCAATAACCTTATTACAGATTTTCTTGTTTTTAAATGTGTTCAAGAAATATTTTATGATTAGCATATTAAATTCATTCATTTTTGTTATTAAAAAACAATTCACTACTTACATCTTTTGATTTTTTATATTTTGTAGATGTAGGAAATATATCTTCTGTGGTTTGATTATCTGTTCGGGTGTGCGATGTAATCATCAAAATCATGAATGGGATATAAATCCATTTCCCATTAGACATTGTTATCAATTTTGATTTGTTTAGAGAATAAAGTCAACAATAAGGTAAAGAATTAATTTTTAGAAAATTTCTCAATAATTATTGTTTTCTAGAATTATTCTGAAATCGAATTTTTTCTCTAATCAATCGAACAATTAGTTGAAACAGCATTATTCATAATAATATTAGTCAACAGAATCAATAATCATTA